GAGAAATGTATAGCTTATGAAATAATAGTTTTCTCTGAATCTGAAAATGCTCAAATCTAAGTGAATTCCTGAGTCTTTCATGGTAAGCTAGACAGCCTTCTTGATTGTCGCTGGAATATACAACCTCTCAGTCCTACAACATCAATTCTCTGCTTGCCTTGTGCATCTGAAATGCAAACACACTGTGTAACCTCTGGGGTGCCTGCTTGTGAACTGTGAGATTTATTCCCAGTGTCCAAAACAGACAGCATAATTGCAAATATTTATTGAAGATGAGAAACAAAGCAAAACACATGCTTAATCTGAACATATAGAGATTATATCAGAAAGCTGTCTCTGCTCACGGTTTCTTTTTTTTCTCTTCTGCATACTTTATGCCTCAGAGAGAGAGAACTTTGAGCAGGGAGCTCATCTTTCATGAGTCTGCTGTGGGGGTCTGGCCAAAAAATAATGTACTTTGTTCTCTCCTTGTTGTTGGCCAGGAGAGAGTCTAGCTTCTTTTGTTGTTGTTTTCTTTTTAATTAAAATGAGCATTGTTTCTCAACCTTCAAGACACAATTTCTTTTTATTAGGACGTGCCATCTCCTGCGTCTGACCGAACTTTTTGACTCAAGAAAATGTAAATCTCTTTTCTCTCTTGATATCTGCCACTCCTTGATAGCTCAGCATGCACGTTCATTCTGGACCTTACATTCCTGCCAGTGAGTCCCAGAGACAGCATGGTTTGCCTTAGTCCTGTAGAAAACTAGTGGCAAAGCTCATTGTCAAACCTCTCTTGAGTTCCAGTTCAGAGTTAGTTGTGGGGTGGTTGCCTTCTGTCAACCTCAGCTTGCTGTGTTTGAAAGAAAGGGATGTTCCTTATTCAAATCAGGCTAAATATTTATTGTGCATACTTGTTATTATGTAAACATATTAAGCTATATACATATAAGCATATTAAATTGTAACACCACAGTCAGGTTTGTAATTTGCTTTGACACAATACTGCAATTTGGACAATTTACCACAATGACTCTTTGTAAACCTATGGCTGCTCCTTGATGGGCAAGGACAAAATCTGCTTTGTTTTCTGACTAAGATGCTTTACAAATGTTTCTTTTTGAAAGGACTGCATGGTAGATAGGTTGTAAGCAAATCTATTTTTTGTTGTTTTTGTTAAAAATAAGCTTGTGAATCACTTTCAGTGCAGTGTCAGGAAAAAAGAACAAACAGTTTTTTAAAAAAATGAACAAATTATTTTGACAAGTCATTGCAGTGTCACTAAAGTGGTATTGAGAAACAGAGATTACAGTCCTGCCCTTCAGAGTTCAGCATCAGCATTATATGGGATATAAATACTGTAATGCTTCTGTTACTTATTGTGAAATTTGAGTTCCAGTAAATTCAGAGAAGACTCAGAGAATAACTGTAGTTTCTACTAGGTACTGCAAGTAAGTTGATGGAATGTATTGAAACTCTAGAATGAGAAAAAAGAGGAGGATAATGGAATTACTTTTATAGCTCTGGCAGTTAAAAAAGCAGCTGCTTAAAAATGCTAAAAAATCATAAAGAATAAGGAGTGTAATAACATAATTCATCCTTATATACCCTCTAACCAACTTTTTGTTATGCAGTACAAATATGCAGTATTTAGGACATCTAAATAGAGATTTTTTTCATGATCATTTTATAACCTGGGATACAGTCAAGTAAAGTCAGAAAATCTGCACTTCACAAGTGAAAATGTTAGCATTTTGTTTTGCCATGGCAGGATTTTCAGCTGCTTTCCTACTGAAAATTGTTCTAAAACATGATAGGAAATCAATATCTATTTTTTTTTTTTAGTTTTTCTTTTAACTGCATCAGCACAATTGTTTAAGGCTGATGTAATGATGACAGGAAGAGTTAAGTCTCTAATTAAAATTACATTTAAAATCTGTGTAATGGAAATTGACAGATGTAGAAAAATGCAGAATTAAGCCTGCCTGCACACTCATCTAGTCCAACCTCCCTGCGAAGCAGGATCACCCAGAGCACATTGCACAGGATGGCATCCAGGTGGGATATCTCCAGAGGAGGAGACTCTACAACCTCTCTGGGCAACCTGTTCCAGTGCTCTGTCACCCTCACAGTACAGAAGTGTCCCCCCATATTCAGATGGAACTTCCTGGGCTTCAGTTTGTGCCTGTTGCCTCTTGTCCTGTCACTGGGCACAACTGAAAAGAGACTGGCTCTGTCCTCTTGACACCCTCCCCTCAGATATTTATACACATTGATGAGGTCTCCCCTCAGTTTTTCTCTTTTCCAGGCTAAGCAGGCCCAGCTCTCTCAGCCTGTCCTCGTATGACAGATGCTCCAGTCCTCTCATCATCTTTGTAGCCCTCCTCTGGACTCGCTCCAGTAGCCCCATGTCCCTCGCACTGGGGAGCCCAGAACTGGACACAATACTCCAGGTGTGGCCTCACCAGGGCTGAGCAGAGGGGAAGGATCACCTCCCTTGACCTGCTGGCAACGTTGCTCTGAATGCAGCCCAGGGTACTGTTGGCCTTCTTGGCCACAAGGGCACACTGCTGGCTCATGGTCAGCCTACTGTCCACCAGGACTACCAGGTCCCTCTGTAGAGCTGCTGTCCAGCAGGTCAGCGCCCAGCCTGTAGTGATGCTTGGGATTGTTCCTCCCTAGGTGCAGGACCCTGCACTTGCCCTTGTTGAACCTCATGAGGTTCCTCTAGGCCCAACACTCCAGCCTGTGGAGGTCCCTTTGAACAGCAGCACGGCCCTCTGGGGTATCAGCCACCCCTGCCTGCTTTGCGTCATCAGCAAACTTGCTGATGACATGCTCTGTTTCATCATCCAGGTCGTGATTAATAAGTTGAACAACACTGGACCCATTACAGAGCCCTGCAGGACGCTGCTAGGTACAGGCCTCCAAACAGACTGCACCACTGAGCACAGCCCTCTGAGCCCTGCCATCCAGCCAGTTATCAGTCCACCTCACTGTCCGCTCATCTAGGTGCCACCTCCTGAAAATGCATTTCACCAGCATTTGCTTCACCTACAGTTTCTAGTTCACACCATGTCCCTGTGACCACCAAAATTTAAGACAGGCTCCGCCAGAAACCTGATGGAGATGTCTTGGCTAATAGTGCTGGTCTTCTGAGTGGGATTGGCTGGACTGGCAGGAAACCATAGGTCCTGGGTTCCCATAGTACATGGAGTGCTGTGTGAAGGCATTGCTCTGCTGGCCAGGTCAGTAGCTGAGACCTTGACTGTGTATGTTTTGTGGCATCAGGCTGCTTTTACTTTAGAGTGTGAAAGCTGAGAACTGCAGTCCTCCCTGACTAAGGCTGACCTTCCTCAGCTGGAGAAAGCCCTGTCCACACTGAACCATGTGAAAAAGAAGGGAGAGAGCATATCCGAGCAGTAATTCTCTGCAGGCTGTTGGCACATGCCCTCACAGCTGGGCTTTGACTGCCTGTGTCAGGTGTAGGGGTGGCTGTGGGGGAGGTGGCGTGACCCATGCAGAGGTGTGGGGCACAGGCCCAGCCACAGGTGGGGGGGAAGCACGAGCCCAGTGTGTGGTTTGTGGACAGCATTGGGAGACATGGGAGACCGGGACATTTCCCTAGGACAGCGGAACCACCCCATTTCCCTCTGAGATGGTTGGATGGACTTGGTTGCACTACCTGCTTCTGCCTTGGTTTCTCCAGCAGTTGAATTGGTGTGGAGATATTTTTTTTTTCTGTCTAAAGAGCATTGATTTCCACGTGTGAAAGCAGTGAACAAAGGTGAAGTATGTTATCGGCCTTGTTGTACTGTTTGCCATGGCCCTTTTCCAAGTGCAATGCTTCTGAGGCGTGGAAAAGAAAATCTTTGGTTTCAGAGTACATTGGTTTATGTATCCTGAAGTGAAACCCAAAAGCTTAGGAGCATTTTGACACTTTTATTTTAAAAAGGAAAGCTCGTATCTTAATATGTGAAAATTTCAGGTGGTTTGTGTGTGAGATGCAAGTATCGAATGAGCAAGTGCAGAATGGTGAATGCATAAAGATGGATTACCTTACAAAGCACCTTTGGGCCATCTGTAGGTCTATTTACATCTTCAGCTTAGAGCTCTCTGTTTTGACATTGTTTGCTTGCAAAACAATGGTGACTTTTACAGTAATATATAAGGAAGTTGTTTCTCTGACCTCAGTTGATCACATACATAAGTACTCAAACCTCTTGGGCCATGGGTCATTTTGTATTCATCTAGTACCTTATAAAGATGTCCCTCACTGTAGCATCTCAGAATCTAGAAGTGGTACGTGAAAGCTGCCCATACCTGGCAGTCAGTTTTGTAGGCTAATAAATTATTACCACGTTAACTGGTGTGTTCAAACTCATTAGAACAGCTGGGCATTTAATTAGATACCATGGCATCAGATTTAATCCAAACAGTGGTCTGTGAGGAACCAGTACTGCAACATATTTGTCATCATAGAAGATGTTGACTTTGGCTCTTATCTGTTCAGTTTATTGTTCACTTATTGTAGGAAAATGGAATAATCTTATTTGATTTTATATGTGTATGTCAAACTATCTGCAGAATATTATAATAAAACATTTTAGGAGCTTTTATTTCCAAACAAAAATAAGACCAAGTAAATACGAACAGATGCTTTGTGCCTTTTAATTCTTACTTTGTAGAAAACCTTTGATTTCAGTCAGGAGAACATTAATATTAGTTCAGCCTGGTTGAACAAAAACACTTTTTAAAAGTGTGTTTAATTGATTATAGCATCTCTTATGAGCAGGTAAACAATGTCTAGAAGCCTTGTCAGCTACCAGGGAGTATTCACCGCTAATTATCATAAGGAACTGCTATCTGAACAGCAGAGGGAAAAGAGTGAATGATTTTTTGTAAGGAGTTTGTGTCCTAAAGATGATCTTTAAATACTAGATTGTGCCTATAGACTCAACCCAATACAAGGCATGCTGTAGAAGATGCTTGAGATGGGAGAACAGGCAACAGAGGCACTGTGACACAGATAGCTTATTTATTTATTTATTTGGATGTCTTCATTTTTTTCCTCTTCTGTTCTTCATTATTTGGGGTTGTCTGGGAATAATCTTTTTGGGGTATAAGGTGGTTTGTTTGCTTTTCCTTCCCCACGTTCTCATGTGTCTGTGAGCATCTTGTTATTGATGGCTTTCTTGATAGAAAACTGGTGAGCTTTTATAGGTTTGTGGGCCATTCCATCCAGCTACAGAAACAGACATGGAGAGGAGGATTTATTTTTGTAATACAGTTTATCCCATAATCTTCTGTCTGTGGAATACAAAAAGGAGAAAAGCAGAAAGTGTTTTTTCAAAGCATTTCAGTGTCCAAACAGTGTGTCCCTTGTTCTGCAGATGAACCCAGAACTGTGGGCTGAGGACCTGGGCCACCTGCCTTATACAGTAAACTAGAGGAGTCTCCAGTTTTCTACTGCTTTTACCCAGCGAAGCATATAGAGCAGGGCTACCATCCATGCTGCCTGTCTCTCTTGCTGAAATCCTTGGAAGTCAGGGAGGATCAAAAGATATGCAGCAGAAATCCATATCATCTTGATAGATGCTATTTCATGGCAATTTTTATCTTTTGAGTTGGCTGAGATCAGGATTCTTGCCTGGAAAAAGAGCTCCCTGCCTCTTTGCTTCCCCTGTCCTTTCCTGGTCATTGGGCACAGCACTTACAGCACTCCTTAATATTCCCCCAGGACCATGATGGCCATTTCTGGCATCGCTCCATCACGTGTGCCCTGGACCATGCAGTCCTTTGGTAGGGTGATGCTGACAGACAGCAGAAAGCAGCTCATTTTGCCTCCTTTTGCATCTTTTTATCTGTATTCTGCATAGTTCTGTCACACAGAGACTATAAAGGTCATTCTCCTTCAGTTAAATGTATCTTATGTTCTGATTACCTGACCAGAATGAAATTTCTCCTTATCTTACAGAAAACTTTTTGAGTCAGACTGTCACATAGACTATAAAGCATTTCCTAAAACAAGTTTTTCATTTTTACACACTGAAACACAGGCAGTGAAAAACATGACTTTGCTTGAGAATCTGAGCGATCCATGTTAATGCTGCTTGCAAAAGGCATTGCATGTGAGTTGTGGAAGGGTCATCTGTGATGCTTTTCCATTGTTGAGCTTGCTGCAGGTTTTCAATCCAGTCTTTGATTGAAATTTTTGATTTTATTCTTGCCAACTTTGGGGACTTGTGACCGCAGGTTGCAATCAAAGGTGTTATAAAGGCTGCAATTCTAAGAGGAAATATATATCTATATCTATATTTCCAAAATCAAGAAATGACTTTGATCACGTTTTTCACAATTTCTTCTGAGTTGAATGCTTATTTCTTCTTTAACAACAGAAGACCTTTCTAATGGTAGTAGCTTAATAATGTAATAGTAACATTACCATCTACATAGTAAGCAATGAGAACTGCATTAAGCTTTTATGTTTGACTTTGTGTGCAGAAAAACATATTTTGATTTCACATTGAATTTTACGGACAAATTAACTTGATGAAAAGCAATACTGAAGTGAGAAAGAGACAGCGTATCTGTAGCTTTAAAGATAGTTTAGAAGATAAAAATAGCAAGTGTTTGGTTTTGGAAATAGCTCACTGTTTACAAACTTGGTGGTGCAATCCAGTGGGAGCAATAAACTCATTTATTGCAGAGCTTCACACTTATCTCTCCTGTCCTATCCCTTCTCATGCTGAGAGCACCGCTGCCACTAAATGACAGTGACATTGTTTCTGTATCAGTTTGCGATGTGAGCATACACTAGAGCAGATAACTGCCGATGTGTGCCCATTCAGAGCTTAACAAACTCTCTTAAGGAAGTTAGTGCACTGCTAATAACCCTGCCATGTTTACAAAAGACAACTCATGCATAAAACAAAGTATTCTTCCTTTAAAATATGAGAAAATTAAGGATTAAGAAGACATCAAATGAATAAAAGCAGAATTTACAATGAGGTGAGTGTGTAACTCCACTGAACAGAATATAGACAGGCAATTTTGCTATGAGATCCTCATTTATATACATCCAAACCTATCTGAAGTGTTTCAGATTATCAGGACCTGATATCACAGATATTTCAATCACAGTTGAAAAAAATTAGAAAAAAACAATGTTCTAAGTATTTTATATATATATACATGTATCCATGAATATATACTCAACACAATCGAAACATTCAACAAGTGAGATTTAATGCCAATGGAGAGTAGAATTATTTTTACATAGCAATGTGAGAACAAAATCATATTAAAACTCGGGGAATAAAAAAAATAGTATACTGGAAAAAGTATATTAAAACGTACTGTGTCATTAATTTCTGAAAATATAGTTAATGAGCTTAGTAATATATAGGCTTTTATAATTAAGGTATTTCTTGGCAAGAAAGCAGGTGGTTGATTACGAAGCATGACTTTGCCCATGTATGTTGGGAGAGCACATATTTAATGACTGCTGAAGACGGATGTTCTTCAATGGCTATAAAAAAAAGTCCACTCTAGACTGATTACCTTAGGCTGCCCTGAAACTGATGCTAAGAGCCTAAATGAGCAAGACAAAAAACACTCTCTATAAGAGGGCAGTGTCTCTTATTCTTCTTGCAGCTCAGCCCCCTTTGTATTTCAGAACTTCTCCTTGGCATGCTTCTCCCTGTTGATGAGTTCAGAGTTCCCTGCCAAACAACCTGGTGTTTGTTTGCTTCAGGACAGACTCACTATGGCTCTGACTATCCTTAGGGATGTTACCGTATTATTTTTGTTTGTTTGTTTTTGGAAATCTGCTGAATTTATCCAGGTTAATGAGGTTCTACTGGCAGTGCCAGAGGAACTCTAGTGCACTCTACTCTATAAGGACTTATAGAATTAAAATTAGATACTTACAGAAAGCCTCTCTACAAATGCTCCAGAAGTTCAGCTGTTAGCATCATGATTCTTATTAATTGCACAGTCCAACCACAACAGCACTTCTGACCATATGAAAAAACAATTAATAGAAGCTATAAGAAAATTCCCCAACACAATGTGCTTGACATTTTTCTGGCCAAGAACTAAGGTAGCTACTTAGAGCTTTTATTCATTGTTCATTCCATATCACATGTACGTACAGGGAGGAAGTGCTATGTCACAATAAATTAAGGTGTATTTATGACAATGATATTTAAAATGCCAGTTCTGGAAAGCCAGGAGTTGCTAATGTTTCTTTTCTAGTTGATTTGCATGTCAGGTTTTACCCTGCATTGCTGTCTATTCTTGCTTACTCAGGAGATTGCTGTGCTATACAGGAGATGAAATTTTAAACTGCTCTAATGGTACAAAGCCAAATGGGTAGGAAGAGATGCATGTCTTTGTAGATTGACATTTAAGTCACCGTTCTTGGGGACAGAATGATGTCCCTTACCTTACGTGTCAGACAACAGCAGCACTGGCGTTTGGGATGACAGTTTATATCTTTCATTCTTTGATAGAATGGCTTATTTGCTACTGTAAAAATGATTGGGTCGAGGCAGCTACTGATGCTGCAGATGATCTCTGTGATCTGATAAACAGCAAACAACATATTTGTGCTTCCACAGGGTGCTTGACAAGTTATTTTGTAAATTAGTGTCACCATCATCATGACATGATAAGGTGTGAAACAAACAGCAAATAAAATCATAGCAGCTGAAATCAATAAAAAAGGCCTAATGATTCTGTTCCTTCTCTGCTGGCGTTTACTGAGTTGTAGCAACGCTTTGAGAGTCAACATATAGCATGTAAAGATGACTGTGACTGGAATTAGGAATCTCAAGACAATCTTGGAGAGTACAAATGGCACGGCAAATTGTAAAGGTCCAGTGCTATCCTCGTTATCTGGGATGTCATGTCTTCCCACTTCAATTGTGTAAAAGATCTCTGGCACTGATGCAGTGACTATGAAGATCCATACAGCAATAGTACAAGACGTGGCCTTTCCTTTGTCCCACCACGTTAATGAACTGATAGGATGGACAGCACCTACGTATCTGTCAAAACTGATGAATGTCAGGAAGCAGACACTTCCGTAGATATTAATACTAAAAAATAGTCTTATGATGTGATAAAACGTTTGACTGGAATAGTCCTCTGGCCTCTGGAGACTATAGTATACTGAAAAAGGTGCCATGAGAATCCAAGTGAAGTCACAAAGTGCCAAATTAAACAGAAATATGCTGTTAGTAGTCCACGTCTTCCTGCAGCACACATAATGTCGCAGGGCAAGTATGTTGCCTAGAAATCCCACCAACAGAATGAAAAAGCAAACCAGAATCAGCAAATAACAGTACCACTCCATCTTGGAATTAGTGTTGCAAATGAAAATGCATGTGCTGTTCATCGTCTTTCCATAGAGTGTGCCTGAAGGGGAAAGAGAGACCAACAGATTTTAAATAAAAATGTGCCAAGAACCTCGCTCCAAACAATGAAAGATATGTTAATCTGTAAGGTTTGCCCAAGCTGGAGCTTGTTTGACAGTCATAAAAACAGCCATTTATAGCTCAGAATCCACAACAACGTTTGATAGGAAGACAGGTATTCCTTAACACAAAATGACTTCCACAGGTGTGTTCACAGGCATAGGTCAGAATATAACAAGAGCTGCAGTGATGACCTGCTAAATAGAGACTGCATTATTGAGCTTTGCACATTTACCCGATGAACTTACAAAAAGTTAGTTCAGACTGTACTGAATAAAGTGAAGATGAAAAGTGGTTTCTCTAGAAGCTCAGCAATGAAAGCAGTCAAATGACTTTGCAGAAAGATAGAAAGCCGTATGTTCACCTCCCAGTGTATTTTACAGGTGGGAAATGTTTGCTCTCTAGATGTATTTTGTTAATTATCGAAACACTGTACTTTAACCTGGGATAACTGAACAGTTTCCCTATATGATTTTGCACAGTGTTTGTGAATATCAAACTTTGTATACATTTTTTTCTTCAACTAAAATTTATGAGATGACTTTGTAAATTCTTTAACATATAGTCACCGTAATAGGTACAATACAGTTAGGTAACATTTGCTTCACAATGTGTTCAGTTAAAAGGAATTTTAATATGTGTAGGGAAATTGTTTTTTCCTAAAATCATCCTGGCTAAGCACCATGTGTGCTTTGAATTACATTGTGAATTACACCTCTCTGCCTTCCTTTTGGATAGCTATGAATGAAGGCAGTAAGCAGTCCATTCCATTTGTGTTGTCAGTATAAATAAGCTCTGAACTGGCTACAAACAACAAGGACATAGCTGCATGAGGCAGTTGTAATGCCAGGGATTCCTGATCCCATCAGGTTCCTGGACAAGGACTGTAGGTAGGTCTGAATGGAAGGAGGCAGCCAGCTCTGCCACCTGCTCCACTTTGCTTTAAGTAGTCTGGATGAAGCCTGGATGTGTAGCCCTGTGACTGCTCTAAGGCAGTTACAGACTGGAACTAATAAATCCCCTGTCCCCTTTGTTACCTTCAGTTTACTAGACTGAACCCTGGGATGGGTTATATGGAGTTAGTTATGTATCTGGAGGTGCTGGAACTGCACAGCTTGGTAAGATGCATTTGGAGCTCAGAGTCACATTAGAAAATGTGTTTGCATTTGCCTATGTTCATTTCCCATATTCTTTGGATTTCCTGTGAAGCTCTGTAGGCGTTTTCCACGAATCCAATGAATCTTGGGGTTTATATTTGGATTTTCTAAAAGGTTCTCACTGTCTCTTACTTATTCATCGTATTATAGCAGAGCTGAGAAGCCATAACCGATACTGGATTTTTGAACACCATGCATTGCAATTGGTGTGAATGCCTTACAACCTATCACAGAATCACAGAATCACAAAATTTCTAGGTTGGAAGAGACCTCAAGATCATCGAGTCCAACCTCTAACCTATCAAACGGGTTGGATACAATCAAAGAGGTTCAGAAAGAAATCAAACTTTTTCTGAGGTAACATAAATAGTAGGAGAAGAACAGGACAAGAACTAGTGGTTATCCATCAGAATTTGAAGGCTTCTCTACAATCAAGACCCAGTTTCAGTGCACCTGAGTGGACACAGTCAGCATACCCTGCCATGTCCTGAGACTACTGGAGCTACACTGATGTCCAGTAGATCAGCATATATGCTGTAATGATTTCAGCAGTGACTTTTTTTTTTTTTTATCAGACTTTGATGAAAGTAGGATTGGGCTTTCAAAGCTAAAAATGCAGATTTTTGTGGTTAATTTTCCAGCTAAACAGTTTCAGCTGTTGGTGGAGATAGCCAGGAACACTAAATGGGCAGAAAGATCAATTGCATGATGGGTCATCCAAAATTAAAGGAGTATCTTTGATTTGATGAAGGACTTGATATTAAAATATTAGTCATATGCCCAAGAAAGAGTTGAAGTTTCCTGGACCTGAAAGAGATATTGCTTAGATCTGTGACTCTCTAACAATAACTATCTACAAGTTCCTCTGTCATTTTCCCCTAGCAGCATCTGCAAGCTATAACAGAAAGTCCAGAGAGTTTCTCTTTCTAGAAGTCATATTTCTAAATGCTTTTGATTATATAGAAGATGTAAGACCTGATCTGAATATAAGTTGACTTACTGTGGCTCACTATGCTGTCCGTGACTGATGAGCTGATTTCCTTCCTGGTTTGTTGCCGTGTCCTAAATCATGAAGTCTCTACTTCCCTCTGTTCTCCTTGTACCTGTGATACGGCCTCCAAAGTCTTGAAGTAGATAGATGAACATGTTTGATTAAAAAATAACGTTTTGATGAAACTCCTTTTGGAGCTAAGAAGCATTGTATCACTGAAGAGAATCTGATCTATGTATAAAGCTAATTGCAGCTCACAGTTCATCACTATTAATCATTTATATGGCATTTAACTTGTACTTCCAAAGTTCCATTATGTTTAATGAGTTTGTTTATCTTTAAAGTATTTACTTCAATATGAATAAATATATCCTAGGAACCATTCTTCCACATCATATCTGTTTATTTTTATTTTTTTACATTTGTAACAAGGTTGTAATGAGAGATTAATTTGTCCTGACGTAAAGATTAAGCTGAATTAACAGCTTATTTTATGTAATTTTGTTCCTTATCCACTTTCTCTTTGTCCCTTGCTCCTTTTTGCTTGCTAATCTTTACAGTAAATGTCCTTATTTTACAGCAGCTGTTTTGTTTGGATTATTCTAAGAATTTTATATGGTTACCCTGTATAGGTTTTCCACACTTCTGCCTATTCACACACCAATCTACTTCTGTTACGTATTTCTCAAAGTGTACCCTTTTAGCTCATTATATAAAAAGAATACACTGGGGATAATAAGTAATACAGAGCTGTATTTGTATGCAGTGGGATCAGTACATTGTACTGATAGCCAGTTCCTTTCTTCCTAATGACTCAATCTGTATTGCTATTAAGCTACTATTTCTTTCATTAAAAATGATGTTCATGTACTTACTTGGGGGTTAATGAAATCCCATATGGCAAACATTAACTACAGTAGAGTGTTAGATAATGTTTAAGAATTTTCCTATCAGAGGCAATATTTATGAAAAGATACTTTAAATAATATGAAATTTATGTATGTACATATTAATCAGTGTGCAGTAGCTAAGTAAAATAAATAAATATGTATTTCTGTAGAGAATACAGGTGTGATAAATATGTAATAAATCTTTCTCTTACCTGTTTTAGGACTGCTGTAATTATCTCTTTTACAGAAGTCTAGATTCCAGGCTCTGGCGTTTCTCTCCATTAATCAGGATCTTCTAAAATCACCACTCTGTTTTGCAAGTGCTGTTTTTAATCCAAGGTTTCAGTAGTATTCCATATGCAATGGCAGCTCTTCATGGAGCAAGTGTCAAACTGTAAGAGAGAGATCATTTCATCATTATGCCCCTCCTCTCAATCAGTTGAGACAAATTGCTATTACCATAGCAGCCTCCACTTGCTTTTCAGGGAAAGGGGCTTACTGCAAATCCAGTCTGGCTTGGTCTGGGACTTTCATTGTTGCTAACATGACAGAGAAGAGTGGAGGGGCCTGGGTCATGTATGTGTGTATTTGCACCTTCCTTTTCTTGCCCCTCCTTCACTGCCAGAACTGCTGCCCTTCTCCTGAACTGGGCAGTGCACCTGTGCTTCTCTTGCCTGCTGCAGCTTGGTTAGATACCTTTATTTTATTTTAGGAAAGGGATGGATGAGACTCAGTGAGGTTTAGAAGAGGAAAGGAGCAGTAAGATCAGACGTAAAGATCTGGAAACTGTGCAAAATGAAATTGTTTGGACAGGTGAAAAGGCTAATGGGTGACAGGACAAAGAGGTGAGAAACTGATGTATTTAGGACAGTAAAGGACAGAGAGAAAAAAAGTAAGAGCACAAGATAGAAAAGGAAAAGTAGCCTAGGAAAAATACGTTCCTGAAGAAAACGTGACAAAAGTTTCTCCTATTACCTATGATGAGAGTAAGCAGAGCTTTTTTTCCAAGTGACAAGACATACTAGTGTGCTTTGAAAAATGCATTCTCTGCAGAATGAAGAGAGAGGTATATCACATCACATGATTAAAGCACCTACATCTAACTATTTAAAACAGTACCAGATTCTAGACAGGCTTCGACTTTGCTGTCTTAATGAAATCAGGGAAGCACATAACATATGTCAGGGGACATGCTTTTACTTCAAATATTTCACAGAAGAAAGGCTTTTTTAAGCTGATGAAGAGAAAGATGATGTATGAGCCAGTAACATTTTTAACATTGGAATCGAATTGTAATCATCTGTAATCTTTCTCAGCTTCTCTTAAATGCTGTTATTAGTAAACTGATGTTGCATTCTGTCTTTTTTCCTTTAGATTTCATATTCAGTGTGTAATTGCAAATAGATCACAGATCACAGAACTTCTAGGTTGAAAGAGACCTCTAGATCATTGAGTCCAACCTCTGACCTAACACTAACAGTCCCCACTAAACCATATCCCTAAGCTCTACATCTAAACGTCTTTTAAAGATCTCCAGGGATGGTGACTCCACCACTTCCCTGGGCAGCCTGTTCCAGTGCCCAACAACCCTTTCAGTAAAGAAGTTCTTCCTAACATCCAACCTAAAACTCCTCTGGTGCAACTTTAGCCTGTTCCCCCTCGTCCTGTCACCAGGCACGTGGGAGAATAGACCAACCCCCACCTCACTACAGCCTCCTTTAAGGTACCTGTAGAGAGAGCGATAAGGTCGCCCCCGTGCCTCCTTTTCTCCAGGCTGAACAAGCCCAGCTCCTTCAGCCGCTCCTCGTAGGACTTGTTCTCCAGGCCCCTCACCAGCTTTGTTGCCCTTCTCTGGACTCGCTCGAGCACCTCGATGTCCTTCTTGTAGCGAGGGGCCCAAAACTGAACACAGCACTCGAGGTGCGGCCTCACCAGAGCTGAGTACAGGGGGACGATCACCTCCCTAGCCCTGCTGGCCACACTGTTTCTGATACAAGCCAGGATGCTGTTGGCCTTCTTGGCCACCTGAGCACACTGCTGGCTCATATTCAGCCAACTATCAACCATCACTCCCAGGTCCTTCTCTGCCAGGCAGAAATAGGATACAGAAAAAAATGTGCATAAGGAACTGAGATTTTTCTGTGTGTGTGAGTGATGGAAAAATGAGGACTCTAGGGTCTTATTTTGCAATATTGCAGTGAGGCATTATAACTGAGCACTTGGTAAATTTTAGTTTAAAAAACTGCTTGGTAGTTGATTGGCCTTTCTTATATTGCCTTATCAGTAACAATGATAGCAACTATATTGCTGCTAAACATTTTAAATAATATCTGTTGGTACAAAGTCCTTTTGAAATCCCTGCTGGGATGTTAGGTGTTGATCTTGCTGGAAGGCAAGCACTGAAAAAGTTGTTCTAGACCTTTCTACCAGTACTCCCTGACTTCTGTTTGGGTCATTAATTACTGAAAATACATAGCCCTTGCTCAGTAGGAACCATTAAAACCGAGTGTAAACTACAACGACTGAGGAGAGCGTTGTACTGCATTACGATTTCTGTGGTAGGACAAGAAATCAGTCTTGCTCTGACAAATGTGTAACATTGCATTTGTGAAACGACGAAACATTACCATAAGAAACAATCAGCTCAGATACTCTAGGGAACATTTAATTCTTTGTGATGCAGTGACAACATTTGGTGAACATTTCTGGCTAGGAAATGAATAATAATTACATCGTAAGTATAGCTATAAGCTCTATTCTGATTTGCGACACTTTTTTGTTTGCTTGGTGGTTTAGTTGTTTATTTATTTATTTATGTTACCACTTATGGACTTAATCATTTTGGGGTCTTGTGGTATAATGTAGCAAAAGTCAACACCATCAAAAAAGAATATTACTATCTTCCATTTTGTGGATCAAGGACCTGAGTGCAGAGGGTAAATGATTTGTATGCAACATAACAAGATGTCGCTGGTAGAATTCAAATCTGACTCTAAATCTGATGGCATTTGCCTGGTGTATATCACTTGGGAGGTGACCCCAGCTGAACACTTCAGTAGAACTGGCGTCTATGCCCCCTGATGTACTTCAAGAAGCTCAGACTTTTTCAGGGTTTCAGATGCTGCCATTAAATGGGTGGCAGATAAGAACACATGGCAGCTTTATAACCTCAGAAAAGCAGGGAGCAATGAGATTGCACAGTATTATCTCAGTTTTTTTGTGAGGAAGGGTGATTATTTACATACTTACTAACCATCTATTCACGTTTACTTTGGGCTTAAGCAAGAATCATCTTTGGTCCTGCAGTCACCTGCTCAGAGAAGCTCATCTCTTTTTCTCATTAGGCCAAATGTCCTGAATCCTCCACTTCTGTTCTATGTTCATGTTTTTCACAATGTAGACCAGCATATAAGAGGAGATCTCTATCACCTCATATGATAGTTGATCTGACTCTGTCTATAGTCAGTGGAAAGAGACAGGCAACCATAAAGAGCTAATGACTGTTTTTACTGCTCAAGAGTCTGGCAGCAAATAATGGATTTGTACAGCCTGAGGTACTTCTGAATTTATAGACTCGTTTCTCTGAACACTGTGCAAATGCCACTAAATGTGGCTCTTGCCTCCAGGTCTAATTCTGTGAGATTTTCCCTGCTGTGGTATTTGGTTTAGAATTTTTGGATGTAGCAGTTTCTAGAAAATGGGGTGGCTTATTCCCTCTCCATCCTTCAGGTCCATCACTCCCTCCCAATTCTACACAGATGTTCAGCACCACTGTTCACTGAGTCTCAAAGTCAGCAGGTTGGTGGACCTAATAAATAGGAGGAAAAATTGTAATTATTCTTTTTCTAGATGGGTTAGTTCACCACTCTTGTTCACTTGTGCATAGCTGCTCAGCTTGCTGTGCCAGCATTAGAGCACAGTGGGTACAGATGTTAATAGCTGGAGCAGGGAAACAATAAAGGCTGATTGATCAACGCGTAGAATTACATGAGGTGTATGTGAAACCACAGCCACATTTTGCACACGTACCACAGGACCTGATGTGAACTCCTTTAGAGGTTCAGTTTAAAGATTTTGATTGCAGAATCAGAACCTCAATCAGTTTGTCACCAGTCTGTGGGAAGCAACGTTGTAATTTTGTATGGACAATCTCTGTCCATGCTGAACTGCAAAAGACTGGTTTGGTTGCTTGATACCACATCTGTCCTCCCCACACGAAGTGAAATAATTGGACGTACCAAGACATACAGTTTAGGACTTTATTTTGTTTTTGTTATCATGTAAACATATATGCTTACTGACTGACTAAAATGTGGTTTCTTGTAATATTCATATGACAGGTCAGTTGCTCCGTCTGAAGATGTTTCGAGAGGACCACGGGTCTTGGATGACAATGTTCTTCAGTACCATCCTCTTCCTCTTCATTTTTTCTCACATTTATAACCTATTCCTCATTATGGAAGGGAATATGAGGTAGGTTGCAGAGTTTTATTCTGTCTCTTTTTTGCTCTAGGATATATTCCATTGGAAACTTGTCATATTATGCTACTTTAGAATGATCAAGAGATTACCAAAATGTAAATATAGTAGTATTCACCATCTTTTTTATTATTTCTGTTTTCTGAATTTAGGTAGAATAATAATTCAGTTGGTTAATGAACCGAAACTTTAATCCTCTTGGCTACAAAAAGAGGGATCCTAGCCAAATGATAGCAACTATTACTTCAGGGTACTAACAAACATTATATCAAATTGTTTTGATTTGAAGTTACAGCTCAGCAAATTTGATTTGAAGTGAAGACTGAGTAGTTTAAAAGTATAAACATTACTATTGGCCATACTAAGGAAATTCAGAGGTAAAGCGAAAAGAAATTGAAACATCCACACCTGAGGAATCAGACACTCAAAACACAAACATTACATGTGCAGTACAGTGCTATTTTGGTTATGCAAAATAATACTTGCTAATCCAGTTTGTTAAAAAGATTCTTAAAAATCTGTATTTATTTAGTTTTCTTCCCATAAAATGCTCCAACAGGGCGAAGTTACTGTTGGTTGAGGGATGAACAGCTATCTTCTTATTATGTCTGGACTTATTTTAAATTGAACTTTTAATCTGAAATTTATGGTTTAAGAAAACTTGCTTTCTCTTATTGTTCACAAAACCATTTTCATATGCTGATTTTTGTGAGAAAACCTACATTATTACTCGTCTAATACTGCCAAAATGAGATCATTGGACAAAAAATACAGTTTTTTGTTTTTTTTTTATATGAAAGGCAAGGTAGCATCTGAAGAGTTTTTAGCAAGAAATAAGAAACTCAATGTATATTTCAGTTGAAGAACCATATCAAATAATAGAACGACTTGTTTTTAGCAAAATATCAAAGGCATATCAACAGAACCTGATGAAGTGTTATTAAATGGACCTTGGCGTGGCATGTTACAAATCTTTGGCTGTCAACAAAAATACGCAGCGTATAAAGTCATCTTAACAATGTGACATAAAACAAACCCTGA